GAGCCTGGGACACACAGCCACTCCTCAAAGCCATCCCCACTGGTGGATCCCACCTTCCTTCTGTGTTTCAGAGCACAGTGACTGTCCTTGCTGGATAAATCCCTGGGGAAGGCTTCTAGTCACACTTGCACTTCTGAAAGGATGCAATTTAAAAGCCTGACACTGATGGAACCTTGTCTTTGCTCACCAGGCAGCAGTCACTCAAACTCAGAATCAGAAACACTTCCCATTACAGGACAGAGCTCAGGACACCAAGGAAAAAGCCCAATAATGTACTTGAATCCCCAGGTTTGTACACAGAGGCTAACTAAGGTACAAAGGGAAATCTGCAGCCTTCATTTCTATTCCAAATTCCTTTAAGGCTATCTGTGCCATCACTCCCATTTGTAAATGGTTCCTTTTCAATGACAACACAATCCAGGTTTGGAACTCAGTGCCCTCGAAACCCACATGGGATCTTGGGCAACCATGACAGCTCTGCCTCATTTCTGTAATAAAGGTTGTTAATGACACAGTTCCTGCTTGGATTAAAAACATGTGGGAACTGCAGCAGCTAGCTAGGGGAAGCTCTGTGCTAAAAACTTTTCCAAAGCAGCCTTCATTTTTTAATGAGCACATCTGCATGCACAACCCCATGGCTCATACCCACGCTGCTCAAGGTGCAGAGCAGGGCATGCAGGAGCTGGGCATGCAAATATTTGTCTGTGCTGTGACAGCCCATGCAGCTGCCTGCAGACAGCTTAGGAATGCACACAAACCCCGGGTGCCTGTGTGGTTTTCTCTGTGCCGAGCTGCAGAGTGAGAGATTTGACATATTCGAAATGCCTGCACACAGCTGGCTGTGGCACAGCCCTGCCAAGGGCCCGGTGACAGCTGAGCTGGCAGGGCTGCTGTGCTGCCACAGCAACTGCAGGCAAAGGCACAGAACTCCAGGAGGAATTCTGCAGCCAGGATGGGAAGATAAGACGTGGAAGGGAACTGATCTGCAGGGAGTTGCACTGAGTTCACATGAGTCACTTGGGTGTGGATGTCAATGTCTGGCCAAGGCGATAAGTGGATCCCCCCACCTCCCACACACAGGGTGTTATTCAGACATCACCTGATCTTCCTGGTGACTGCACAGCCTCCAGAACCGGGGCCTTTGTTCCTGGGAATCACGGGAGGCACCGGGCTGCCAGCTCTGCACAGCCTCAGCATCCTCCCCAAACTGGACCATCCCTCCAGGGATGGATCCAGGCAATCCCTGCTCCCCAATAAACCCTGCTCCAAACTGGACCTTCAGGGATGGAGCCAGGCAATCCCTGCTCCCCAATAAACCCTGCTCCAAACTGGACCTCCAGGGATGGAGCCAGGCAATCCCTGCTCCCCAATAAACCCTGCTCCAAACTGGACCTCCAGGGATGGAGCCAGGCAATCCCTGCTCCCCAATAAACCCTGCTCCAAACTGGACCTCCAGGGATGGAGCCAGGCAATCCCTGCTCCCCAATAATTCCTGCTCCAAACTGGACTATCAGGGATGGAGCCAGGCAATCCCTGCTCCAGCCAGGACAACTGGACAAACACCAGGAGCTGGAGATCATCTCTGCTACCAAGAGATGTTTTCTCACATCCTGCAGCACTGTCTGTGCCATTAAATCGACATTAAGGAGGTGGCTCAGGGATGCATTGCCAAGGGGAGCTGCTCTAAGCCAAGCTGCTGGAATCCATTTGCCGTGTCCTGACTCCCACCAGGATGCCAGGGCAGGGATGGGGCAGGGATGGGGCAGGGCAGCACTGGGGTGTGCACAGGCTCAGCTTGCCCCACCCCAACCCCTGCAGCCCCATTCCCTGAGTATCTCCAGCGATTCCCAGCAGAGATTCCAGAGATACCCCGAGTTTGACATCATCTGTCACAGCAGGCACAGCTCCCCTCCGGATGAAAGAGAACATTATCCCTGTTTACAGGGGCAGGAATTCCAGCTTCTATCAGCAGCCTGGACCTGCAGATACAAGCCCAGGGCAGCCTGGCCCTGCACAGGACTCAACCACACCAGTCCAGATCCCAGAGCCACCAACAGCCCCAAACTGGTCCCAGCACAGGGTTATGGGAGGGAGAGTCACAGCAGCACTGTCAGAACAGTTAGTGGATTTTATTTTATAGAATCCCAGAATCCCAGACTGGTTTGGGTTGGAAGGGACCTTAAAGCTCATCTTGCTGCAGCCCCATGGGCAGGGACACCTCCCACTAGCCCAGGCTGCTCAGGTCAGACCACTGCTGGGTTTTTTTTAAATTTTGATTTTTTGATCAGTCTTCAGTGCCCTAAACTCAACTCTGTTTCCAAATGTACCTGATGACTTCTTTCCTCGTGATGTGTTTGAACTTAATGAGCTTCTGTCTGTGAAGAAACATAAAATTCACTAAGGAATTGCGGTTAATCATTGATTTTCAAGGCTAAAATTTCTTTTAATGTGGGGTCAGAACTGTGAAGGGTGCAGGATGAATGCTATGGGCCAGATCCAGCTCTGCCATATCCAGTACAGTGGGAATCCTCAAAACTGCCTTTCTACACACGTTATTTTTAGACAAGAAAACATCAAAATTCAAGATCACTCTTAAAAGGCGCCTGAATATTCAATAACTGCATAAATGAAATTGTCCAGGATTCTTTTGATACCACAATGCTTAAAATATCTTTAAAGCACTGTACAAGCAGCACTGGAAACAACTCACAAACTGACAGTGGATATAATTTAAGTGTCCTAAATTCTTTTTTTTTTTTGGCAAAGGCAATTTTTAAAATTGTATTTTCTGAATTTTTTTTTTTCTTTTATTTACCGAGGGGCAGAAATCCAAGAGTTTTCTGAAGGTATTTTGTTGGGAGTCAGAGCACAGGTGAAACATTTGAGGTGGGTTCTGCCACCACAGTGGGACTTGGAGCATGTGATGCTTCCTACCCCATCTCCTAAAAATGGACAGCAGCTGAACGCTGGTCCCACACACAGCCCGGGGAAGACGTGCCCCATCTCTGTCACTATCCAAGATGTTACAGTGCCACCTTCAGTCTGAAATACGGGAGGAAAATCCCTTTAAAAGGCAGCCATGCCCCAAGGAGGCTTCCCAGGAGAGGCTGGAGAGACCTGAAGCAGCCCTTGGGAAAGCAGCACCTCCACAGGAATCCACTGTGAACGTCTCATGGACATCTCTAAAGATTCCTTTGCTCTGTCCTTCTGCACTCATGGGATTGTGCCCAGAGAGGCTGAGGCTGGGGAGTCCCCTGGATCCCTGGAGGTGTCCAAGGCCAGGTTGGACATTGGGGTTTAAAGCAGCCTGGGACCCGGGAAGGTGTCCCTGGATGGGCTTTAGGGTCCCTTCCAACCCAAACCAATCTGGGATTCTATGAACACAAAGCTTGGAGAACAGATGAACCAGGCCTCACCCAAGTTATCCCCAAAAACACCTTAAACAGGAGAAAAAAGAACTTCTGGCTCCTACAGCAGCATTTATAACAGAGGAGAAACAGATTCACCATGTTTTACACCGGGATTCTAGGGCAGAAAAGGAAGTTTTAATGTTAAAGGACAATGGGAAAGAATTGATTTTCAGAGTCAGCTTTGCCAAATGGCTCCTCAGGAATACACAGAGGATCCAGAGGCAGGGCACAGCAGCCTGAGCCTGGGGCAGGATGGTGACAGAGCACTGAGGTGAAATCCAGATTTCCTGCCTATTCCACACCCATCAGCCCTCACTGAGACCTGCTCTTAGTTCTTCATTTAAAACTGGCTCATGAAATGCAAAACCCCAACTGCAGACACACTCCAAACCTCTACCTAGAGCACATGGTTACATAAAATTGCATCTGCATGAGACACTCTGGCTATGCATAATTTATCCCTACTCCCATCCACACACAGTAATTAGCCCTTGCTGACACTTAATGAATGGGAATTCTCATAAAAGTTCTCCAGTTTTTGTGCTTCATGCAAACATATTCAGTGACTAATTCTTGGTTCTTATCTAATTCAAACCGTTCATCTGAAATAATGAATTGGGTTGCCAACCGAAACTTTCTTTAAACTGGTTTTAACAACAACAAAAACGCAGCACAAATTCATCTTTTAGAAGCAAAAGCACAACACAGAACTGTCTTTTAGAAGCAAAAACCCTTCAGAAGTGCAGTGCTTCCCCCTGAAGCCATGCGTGCTGCGGGGGGAGAAAGGAAGGGAGCAATAATCAGCCAGACTGGAAGGCAGCAGGGATGCACTTGGTTATCTCACTGTGCTAATCCTCCATCAGGTGACTGCTCACAAGATTTCTTTAAGCCCTCATTACTGAGGTAGAAATGCAGAAGCAGGACGGACACTTTGGTGACCCCAAAATAACACGTCTGACCTCGGAGAGGGCTCGGGGGCACTGCCAGACCCAGCCAAGGGAGGTGGCACCTGACAGCCAAGAGGAGCTGGGAGGGGAGGCAGCAAAGTGCTCTGCCCTAAAGAAATCACACTCATATGGTATAAAGCAAACTGCTTTTGCTCCCCAGCCAGCAGACACAGATTAGTGACTGGGCTTCGAGTCTAATTCCAGGAGCTCTGAACCTGCAGCTTGGCAGAGATGAGGCTTTTAATTCTCTCATTAAAAGCCCTTCCAATTGAGTAGACATTAATTGTAGTTTTTCACGATAATAAGCTCAAATCATATGACAACAAATCCTACAAGTCAGTTGGAGATATTTATACCAGGACAGGTTATAACCTGTTGGTTGTGCTTCAGACACTTCCACTTGAAAATAAAAGTGAATTTAAGGCAGAACAGGTTCTCTTCCCCTGATCCAAGCCACAGGGAGCACCTGGCTGTCACCACTCACTGTCACCTACTCCAGCACACACACAGAGTGCTCTGGAGGCTGGGAAGTCACAGGTACACTCACTAAATAAATTCAATACAATACAGAGCACTGTACCCAATATTCCACTGGACTGGTCTAATCTAGGAAAAAAAAAAAAAGCAAAAACTCCAAACTCACCTTGATCATTTCTGCCACGTAACTCTCTGGTCCTGTGTATTCTGTGGAATCTTTGACTTTCACTAAGACAATAAAGCACAAATAGTGCCACATGTTGTGCTCTTCCTTAATGTGCTCTTCAAAGGTGACAGTCTTGTTGTCAAACTTATCTCTCTCCAAACCTGTGAGAGGGACACAGGGAGAACCCTGAGTGTTTGCCAGCTGGGGACCAGGAAAATCAGCTCTAGAACAAAACTGATTCCTAAAGTCTGCTGCACTTCTGGAAGTCACAGTCATTCTGGAATGGACACTGAATATCAGGATAAAATCTGACAAATACCCAGGAAGAGGAGAAGAAGAGCAAGAAGAAGAAGAGAAAGAAGAAGAAGAGAAAGAAAAAGAAGAGAAAGAAAAAGAAAAAAGATCAGATGAGAAAGAAGAGGAAAAAGAGAAGAAAGAGAAGGAAAACTAACCTGTAACAAGTACTGCTTATATTTATTATACATAACAGAAAAAAAAATTGGTAAAAAAAGGCAACAACTCTGTAGCAAGCAGTTTGTTGGATTTCATAACACATCTCCTATTTTTGGGCAAACTGATAGCAAAAGCAACGTTTGCTTTGCAGCAAACATCCAAAGGTTACCCTGTCAGGCTGTGTGTTATGTAACATGGCAGGACCATGGCAGTGAACCACAGCACCTCCATTCCCAAGCTCCTGCTGGGAAAAGCTTCCACAGGCAGCACTCTGCATGCTTGGAAAAAAAAAAAAAATGACTGCTCATAAAAACCTCTCCTGTTCCAATAGGAAACTGTTCTTCGAGGCAGAGGAGAAGCAAGAATTGAAGTCTTGAGGAAAAATGGTATCCTGAGCATTCCCCATCTGCTCCTGCTGCCAAGCTCCAGTGCACGTGGTACCCAGGAACATGAACTGGCTGAGGAATGCAAGGAGGAACAGCCAGTAATTCAAGGCTTTTTTTCCTGTGAGTTTGCAGCTCTCCCTGGCTCACCCAGAGTAACCCCTTCTTGTTGAATGTGTCTCCATACTTACCACAAATAAAGCAAGTTGTTTTTAAAATTTCTTCTTTCTTCTGTTTTTCGCTCCTTAAATCAGCAAAAGTGTCAATGATCACCCCAAAAATCAGGTTCAGGACAATAATGATGACCATGAAGAAGAACAACAGATCATAGATCACTCTAGCAGCAAAGAGAGGTTCCTGAAAGAGACATTTTTGAATTATTAACAGCCCAATTAGGTACACATCTCACCCTAATTACCACCCTGCCCCACTCCCCTTTCCCTGACAGTGCCCACTGCTGATGCTCTCCAAGGGGAACTCACAACTCCAAACATTAAATGAGCCTAAAATGTAAAACTAAAACGCAAAAATCACTGAAAGAAAAGCCAAGTTAGTCACTGCCAGTGTGGGATCTCTGCAGAGCTGCTCTTCCTGGGTCCAAGATTTGGGACTTCTCTCACTTTCACAAGAGAAAAAACTCTTCTCTCACACACTGAGATTTGTTCTCACCCCTCCCTGAAGCCCTTCCAAATTATATCCTTATATTTGTCTGCAATATATCAACAGATGATCAGTGTGGACCATAAATTCTTTTACTGGAATTTAATACCATTAACTGCATTTAACAACCATGTAAATGAACACTAAGCTGGACTTTTCAGTACACATTTCACATTTATTGCAGGCCTGAATACCCAAAACATCCAACCCCCATTTTCACAATCATCCTGCCAGTCAAGTGCCAAACTTATTATTAAGAATTAAGTAACTGTGAAGGCTAAGTTTTAGAAAAAGACTTTGAAGTGTCAGATAAAACAAAAAAGCCTTGCCCCCAGTGTGGCTTTGAGTCTGAGCCTCAGATCACAGAATCATGACAGAATTGTAGAATGAGTGGGAAGGGACCTTAAATCCCACCCCTGCCATGGCAGGGACACCTCCCACTGTCCCAAATCCCAATGTCCAGCCTGGCCTTGGGCACTGCCAGGGATCCAGGGGCAGCCACAGCTGCTCTGGGCACCCTGTGCCAGCCCTGCCCACCCTCACAGGGAACAATTTCTTCCTAAATGATGGACACAAACAGCTTGAACAACAGTCAGAGTGGGGGCAAGAAGGTGCCATGGAAAATTCCTGCAGCTTAGCCTGGTCCTCACTCTGATGATGGCTCCAAACCACATCCATCCTTCCTCTCCCACCAACCCAGCTTGGTCCCTGTCCTCTCATCCCTCCCATCTGACACGTTAGCTGTCCCTAGGGATGCTCCCACAAAATCTCCTGCCACTGGCATCATCCAGCAGCTACCTCAGCATCTTCCTGTGCCACCTCACACTCCTGCCTCACTGATTTGTACTCTTCTCCTTCCTCCAGCTCCTCAACTCCCAGCTCAGACTGCTGGCTCTGGACATCCCCCAAGCTGTAAAATCCCGGGTAGAAAGAAGCTTGTGTGAAGTGCCTGGTGCTCAGTGTGACCCCGGAGATGTCACCACAGAGCCCAGGAGCAGCGGGTCCCTCTGTGGCTGCTCCTCCGTGTGCACGGAGCAGTGCTCACACACTCTCCCCAGCAAAGCAGATCCCAGCCCGACTCAGCAGCACTCCTCCACCCCCATCAGTGGTAATTTACCTCTTTGGAAGGTTTCCTGAGCACATCACCTACTCCACCCCCGCTCCTGAGCCCGTGACTCAGTACAGTAACAATGCACATCAGCAGCGTCTCGCACGTATGCTCCTTGTTCTCTTCCTCCATCTCCTCAGTGATCAGCTCTGGGAACACAGCAAGCAAAGACACGTTTCACAGCCAAGATTAGCTCTAAATCCTCCTCTCCATTCTTTGCTGGGTATGCTCTCTCCCCCCTCTGACTGCCAGCCTGTGTTGCAAATCTCTGAAGGTTCATTCCCCAAATAATGACAGAACAGTTGTGGGTTGGGGGCACCTGTGCAGATCATCCCTCCAACCCCTGCCCAGGTAGGGCCACCTGCAGCAGTGACACAGGAACACGTCCAGGTGGGTTTGGGATGTCTCCAGAAAGGAAAACTCCAGGATTCCCTGGGCAGCTGCTCCAGGGCTCTGCCCCCTCCATGGAAAGAGCCAAAACCTGTTTCAGTTTATGCTCCTTGTCCTGTCACTGGGGACCCCTGGGAATGGTCTGAAACCACTCTCTGACACCCTTTGGGGATACTGCACGGACTGATGGGATCCCCTCTCAGCCTTCCCTGGACTGAACAGACCCTGAACAGCCTCTCCCCATACGGGAGATGCTCCAGACCCCTCATCACCTGTGGGCTCCCCTGGACCCTCTCCAGAGCCACCCTGGGAGCAGATCTCTCCCCTGCCCTCTCTCCCCAGCACCAGTTTTCTCTTGTGCCTGAACTGCTGCCTGGGACTCGCTGCAATCTCCTTCCATCCCTGCTTGCATGCACAGCTCAGATCACCAGATGCCTGTTTATACAGAATCCGAGCTTTTTGACAGCTCAGAGGACAAAGTGTTGCCTCTTCCACTCTCCCCTGGTGCCTGACAGATTGCACAGCCTTTGGGCTGCACTCAAAATGGCAACTTCCACTCGGAGCTTTCAAATGGCTAAAAGATCACTGCTTGTGGAAACAGCATTCTGCTGGAAAAGCAGCACACTTCTGACCTTCCCCTCGCTCAGCTCAGGGCTCCAGCTTCACTGTTTCACTTGCAGAGCTGCTAAAATCCATTCCCTTACCTCATACCTCATTCAAAAATCTCACTGCTTTCATTTCATCACAAAAAAAAATGCTCACGAGCAGATCCCACCTTCCCACAGCCCTGGAAAGGCCCCAGTCCCTCTGCAACCCTGAAATAACCAAAACCCCAGGGCAATGCCCAAATCTGGGGCATCGTGAACATCCCTGACCACACAAGACCCTGGCACTGTGCTCGTTATTTGTGATGCAAAAACATCCCCGAGTTTTCCTTCCTGCAGCCAGAGTGAAGGAGGTGAAAGAAGCAGCTTTTCCTGTAGCAAGGCTGAATTTGACTTTCTCAGAGAGGACCCCTGGGCAAAGCAGAGCCCTCTCCTCCCATGAGCAGGGGCTTGTGGCCATCACTGACCTTTGATGGCCATGCAAGATCTGCCCTTCCCAGAGAAACTGGGATGTTCTGTCTGCCCCTCCCAGCCAGCACCATAAATCTCCCACAAGGAAATTAGATTTTTCTAGAAATAAAACTGAAATATTTCAATACCCAGGTAATATCTCACTTTCTTGATCTCCAAACCCACTCTTGTCTACTTAATCCATCCAGTACTTCCTGCCATGATATTAAAATGGTTTTCTTAGTTTGAGATGGAACAATGCTGCCAATAAACCGTATTTCACAGGGCATTATCCTCTGAGATCACATTTAATAGCTTCATGTTTTAAAATAATAAACTTTGCAAAGAGGCTAACTGCATCTCTTCCTTCTCCAATTGATGCAGAGAATGAAAGAGTCTGGCAGTGTTTTATGAAGTCTGGTTAAGTTCTAAGTTTCTCTGCTTTAGTCACTTCATGCAGCAAATATTATTTATGCTGCTGGCCTAAATTAATCCTATCTCAAGTTAATCTCGTGATAGTTTTGTTCCCGAATTTATTGTATATCATTTTCTAAAGAAATGATTATAATTGAAGGTGATTAACTTAAAACAGAGTGAGAGCTCAGGGTGTGAGTTAGGGGTTGCAGAGTGGTACTTACGGTCGGAGGGGATGATGGAGGAGCAGTTCTCACTGCTCCCTGCCTTGCACACATCTGAGTAGAGGAACTCTCCAGTCATGGTCTCACCTGGCTCTGTGCGATCTGAAACCACAAAATGCTGCATCAAAGGATGCTTGAACACCTTGCAAGGTGACTCCTCAGGAATTAGGGTTCCCCATCACACTCAGTGGGTGGTTACAAGGCATTTAGAGCAGTGTCTTACCCTAGAGTTTAGAAGGGCACAGTGCTTTCTGATTTACACATTCCACGTGTAAAGTGTGGCTTTAAAGTCAACCACAAAACCATTTTTATTTCACAGAATCCCAGATTCACTGAGGTTGGAAAAGACCTCCAAGATTCTTTATTGAGTGGGTTATGCCCACCTTGTCACCAACCCAGAGCACCGAGTGCCACCTCCAGCCCTGCCTTGGACACCTCCATGGACGGGAACTCCAAACCTCCCTGGGCAGCCCCTTCCAATGCCTGACCACCCTTTCCACGGAGAAATTCCTGCTGCTGTGCAGCCTGGCCACCCCGAGGCCGCTCCCCTTGCCCTGGGGAACAAGATCCCACCGGGAACGAGCTGCTGCTACTGACCTGGCAGCAGGGTCTCGTTAGGCAGCTTGTCCACTTCCAGGATGAAGTCATCCTTGAAGAAGAGGTAGCCCACGATGGAGAACAGGTAGACCAGGATGAGGGCCAGCACGGCCGTGAGGATGATGGAGCGCCCGTTGCGCGTCACGCTCTTGATGACGTTGAGCAGCGTCTCCTCCCGGTACACCAGGTCAAAGAGCTGGGGACAGACAACACCACCACGTGGAGCACCAGCACCACTGGTGGCATCGTGTCCTGGGCCATGCACTTGGCAGCAGCAGGAGCCCAGGCAGCTGTGGCCTCCTCTGCAGCAGCCTGGCCAGCAGCCCGTGCCCGCTGCCCCAGTGACAGACACACACCCAGCTGCCAGCACAGACTGCTGGCTGGTTTTTATAGCATTATCTACCCCCTCACAGCCTCCAAACGGCTCACTTCAAAATTGCAACTTGCTGTTTTCTTTAGGTTTTGATTTACTGAGCATTTCATGAAAGAAGGGGTAGTTTTTCCCAAATTCTGTGTTTAGATTTCTCTGCTGATGTTTCCTTCATTTTTCACTGGGTCTGGGACAACTGAGAGCAGAGCCCAGGCAGGTTGTGGCTATGCTGGTGGATCACAGGACAGGTATTTTATATTAAACTGGACCTCTATGAACACAGCAACTAACCAGCTCAGGTACAAGAGGATGTGGCAAACACCAAGCAAAGGGACAAAAATAGCCTGTTCTGAATGGGATTTCAGCTTTGCTTCAACAGTGACACATTTTCTCCACCAACACGAGATCCCCTCCTTCAGTGTTATTCTTGGAAGCATTGTGCTGTGCAAGGTGAATCCCACCCCAGGCAGAAGGAACACGTGTGCCAGGATCTGTGTCCATCCCATGAGGGCTGGAGCCTGGACACAGCCATGGAGACTCCAAAGTCATCCAGCTGCTCAGAGAGCACGGCCACTGTGTTACAGTCATTGATAAAAACACAGCAAAGCATCACAGCCCATCTCATTCTACCCCAAAGGCAGGAACACCTTCCACATCCCAGGCTGCTCCAACCCCAATGTCCAGCCTGGCCTTGGGCACTGCCAGGGATCCAGGGGCAGCCACAGCTGCTCTGGGCACCCTGTGCCAGCCCTGCCCACCCTCACAGGGAACAATTCCTTCCTCATATCTCATCTAAACCTCTCCTCTTTTGGTTTAAAACCACCCCCCCCATGCCCTCTCCCTGTCTGTCTGTGCAGGAAGTCTCACATCAACAAAAGGGATGTGGCAGGACTAACTTCTAAAGAAAACCTCCAGTCTGTGGCTCTTCCCAGTGTCTGTTCAACAGTTTCCCAGCAGAAAAGCAGAAATTTTCCTGGATATGCCCAAGATGGGACTTCACAACCAGACCAGGAGATGTTCTGAGGGCCAAGCAAACACCCACCAGGAGGCTGTAAAAGAACTCGTGCACGAAGAGCCCCAGGGCACAGATGAGCAGGTACAGCAGGTGATAGAGGAACTCCACATCCATGATCATGGCCTTGTATCCTCGTGTGAAGGTCCCGCAGTTACCCACAAAACTCATCAGGAAAATGATTTTATTACAAACCTAAGGAAAGATCAACCATAAATTACAATATCAGGGAAAACAGGCTGTTTTTTCAAGCTGGAGGTAACTCAGCAATTTGCTGGGCAATCCCTTCCAATGCCTGACCAC